GACTTGGGCAACGTGGCACAGGCAAAGCGGCGGTGGTTAAGTGTACCTTATATACGGCTGGGGTGCTCGGTGGGCGCCGGTTTATGATTTGCTCCTTCTGTGGTCTGTCAGTAGCGCTCGTATGATTATTGCTAATGTTTTATCGTTTTGATATTACTGTTATCATTATTATTATTATAATTATAAGTATTATTATTATTGTTATTGTTGTTGTTATTATTATTATTATTATTATTATTATTATTATTATTATTATAATTACTTTTATTATTATTATCGTTACTATCATTATTATTTTTATTGTTGTTTTATTACTATTACATTTATTGTTATCATTTCTAACATCCACATCATATTAATTATTTTTATTATTGTTCTTATTATCATCATTATGGTTACCATTATTTTCATTATTATCATTGACATAATTTTCCTAATTATCATAATTTCTATTATTATTATTATCATTGTTATAATCAAAATTCATGTTATTATTGTTATTGCTATTATTATTATTATTATTATTATTATTATTATTATTATTATTAACATTATTATTATTATCATTGTTATTGTTATTATCAAAACTTATGTTATTATTGTTATTATTATTATTATTATTATTATTATTATTATTATTGTTATTATTATTATTATTATTATTATTATTATTGTTATTATTATCATTGCATCATCACCGTTCGTCCTTATCATCGTGTTATCAGTTTGTGTCAATTAGATCCGAAAATCCTGGCGATCCCGCGTGAGACTCGCAGCCGGTCGGGGCCTCGCTCGCCGAGTTCGAGTCGCGGGGCGGCCGGCCGCGTTGGCCCGGCTCGCGGTCGGCCTCCCGCATCTTCGGCCTCGCCGGCAGGAATGGCGCTCGAGTAGACCTCGCCGGCCCCTGTCCCCTTAGCTGACGGCCTCTAATATCCGCCTGCCCTTCACCCCCTTCCCCCTCCTCCTCCTCCTCCTCCTCCTCCTCCTCTTCCTCTTCCTCTTCCTCCTCCTCCTCCTCCTCCTCTTCCTCTTCCTCCTCCTCTTCCTCCTCCTCCTCCTCCTCCTCCTCCTCCTTCCTCTTCCTCCTCCCCCTCCCCCCCTCCCCCCCATTTCGTCCTCCTTCCCCGGGTCAGGCCCGCCAGAGTTCGAGAGTTTCTTCATTATTCATAGTTCACTGCCGGATTCCTCGGCGATATAGAGGGACTCTAATTAAATCATCTTTGTGTGTATGTGTGAGTGTGTCTTTCTATGTCTCCCTCTCTCCCCCTCCCCTCCCCCTTCCCCCTTCCCCCTTCCCCTTCTTTCCTTCCTCCCCCCTCCCTCCCTTCTTACACCCCTTCCTCCCTTCCTCCTCCCATCTCCACCCCCCACCCCCACCCATGTCATATTAAAAAGCGCCCGGCTGATCATGCAGCCAGTTGCTGCGTCTTTGCAAGCTCCGTTTCTGCCTTATTGGCTTCGGGGGAATTGAAGGAGCAGAATATACAGATGCAGCTAATGCGCACGCACACATGCATATGTATATACATACATACATACATACATACATATCTACTTATATATAATATATTTATATATATACAAGTATATATGCACACACACACACACACACAACATACATTACACATGATATATATAGATATATATATACTAATATATATAGATACCTATATATATATATAGTATTTTATATATATATTCATATATATATAGGTATATATGTGGTATATATATGTATATATATGCTATATATCTTAATGTATATAATGTTATCTATATGTGTATATATATATATGTATCTTATATGGTACTATATGTATATATATGTAATATCTAAGTATATAATGTGTATATATATATATATATATCTATATGTATTATTATATATATATATAGATATATATATTTCTATAATGATATATATCATATTATATATATAGATATCTCTATATATCTATATATATATATATATATATTTATATAAAGAAGGATTTTTTTTTTGTCCGAGTAAAGTCACGCCGGAAGCCAAGATAATGATACGAGGAATCTGCGGCTGTATCTCAAGGTAATCTCGTTCGGCCAGAATTCAATAAAGAGAATATTGACTTCCAACGATTTCCTGTCCGGCAGCAGCGCACTCGGGCGGCAGCGTAGAGCCTCGGCGTCGTTCTTCGTCTCCACACGGGGCGTCTCCGCGCGGCTCCCAGTCGATAGCGGAGCCCTCGGCGGTCACCCGGGGTTTCACGTGTGTATACACGCGAACATGTGCTCATGCGCGTGCATGCACACACGCACATGTACACACACACATGCACACGCATATGCACATACACACACGCACATGCATACGCACATGATACGACACATGACCACGCACAAACACATACAACA